TTAAAAATATTTTTAAAACATTTTTTGTGTGTTCTAAAACGGAATATTTGTATTTGAAAAAAATCCTGGAGTGTAATTTAATCCTAAAAACCCTAGCCTTTGTGTATTTGGTAAATGTTTGTATTTTGCAGTTTCTGTTTTGCTTTTTAGATAAATAAAATGTATATGGATATTTTTAAGTCATCTTTGCTTTTTTTAGATGAGTTTGTAATCACCTTATAACAGAAAATAAAACTTTCCTTTATAAACCAGCTATGCTCGTGGATGGTTGTTGTTTGTTTTTTTTTTTTTGGTCTTTGAGTAGCTCAGTTCTTCCTTTAAACATATTATTTATTGCAGGGTTGTTGGTTTGGGGTTTTTTTGTCCTTCTGAAATATTTCATTTTATTTATTATTTAATTTTTAATATATGTACATATAAACCCAGCTCACAATCTGACTTCACATCTGCCATGGTTTCACCGTGGTTGGCAGCTCAGTCCCACGCAGCTGATTGCTCACCCACTGGGATGGGGAGAGAATCGGAAGGGTAAAAGTTTAAAAATTCATGGTTTGGGATACAGACAGTTTAATATCGCACCTTCCGCCTTTCAGATTGCAGGAGAAAAAAAAAAAAAAAAACCCACAAGCAAAAAACAAACCAAAAACCAAGAAAAACAAGTGATGTGAAAGAAAATTTCTCAGCACTAACCAGCCAAAGCCCAGCTGGTCCCCAGCAATGGCCACCACTGCCCACCTCCAGCCTCCGAGGTGGTATTTCTGCACTTGCCATCGTATGGCGTGGGGGAATCCCTTTGGTCGGGAGGGCATCAGCCATCCCAGCTGTGTTCCCACCCCATTTCTTCTGCATTTCCAGCCTACTTGCTGGTTGGGCAGCATGAGCATCAGAAAAGGCCTTGTCACTGTGTAAACGCTGCCCAGCAAGAACTAAACTCTGGGTCATCAACAGAGATTTAGTTTGGGATGATTTGTTTGTTTGTTTTTCCCCCTCAGCAACAGCTTTGGCTGAACACGAAGAAGGGTTCATGGTGGTCCCAGCTCATGCTGGTTCTCTCTTGCCCAGCCTGTAGCATTACTTCACTTGTGCTTTGCTTTCCCTAGACTGACTCTTTCATCATGTGCAGTTGGGCATGTGCTGAGTCTTGCAAGGCCATGAGATATTAGCCTTTTTTTATATTTCCCCCTCCATTTTCCCTCTTTTTTTTTTTTTTTTTTTTTTTTTTTTTTGTTGTCTTCACAAGGCTGTTCCCGCAAATACAAGCTTTCCTTGGCCCCCCTGGGGCACAGGCAGATGGGTGCAGCGTTATCAGTTACTGCTGGGGAGCTCTTGCCATTGGGCTGAGCCACCCCAGCTCAGCCCACCCCAGGGCATTGCCAGCTGCCATCTGTACCATCTTGGCTGCGTGGCACCTCCACCGTGGGGATTCAAATACATCAGAAAAGCCCAATAGGATGAAAAAGAAAGAATATATATAAAAAAAACCCTCAGCATTTATTTTCCTAGTGTATGGAACTGGTCAGTTAAGGCTCACTGATGGCCTGTTGAATCAAGCAGATGAAGGTTAAACCAGAGACGCCTTTCCTTGACTCCTGATTTGAGATAGGGTTTATAGGTGGCTACAATTTGTGAAATGGAAAGCTGCTCAGCATTTGTGCATCAGGCCCTAATCACTGCAGAGCCTCCAGCCCTCCGCCCATGCCCAGGATTAGCCCCACAGTTGTCTTTATTTGGCCTTTTTTTGGTTTGGTTGGTTGTTTTGCTGAGTGCTGAGGACTTTGTCAGGGATTTCTCCTCCCATTGGCAAAGCAATGCCTGGGCTGAGCTGCCTGATACCAGCACAGACAGCAACTGCGATGTGTCTCAGGTTAAAATCAAATAAACAAATAATTTAAAAAACCACCATGAAGTGCCACCAGCTGCTGCCAAACAGCTTCACATACCTGCCATGGGCACGCGTCACCTGCCTATGGCTGCAGCTGGCTCCCTCAGCCGAGGTCCATGGGACACAAGGTGACATTAGCGGGAGGACACGCTGCCCGCCGAGGCGACCGGCAGCGCATTCCAGGGGCGCAGCACCGTGCTAACCTTTTACCTGCTGTACGCACCCAAACCCCGCCAGTCACGTTGCACGGGCACATTAAACCTGCCGTGGCCCCAGCACCTCGCTGGCTCCACGCGGCTTCGGCAAAGTCCCTGGTGCCAAAGGTGTGAAGGGGCTCGTTCCGCAGCCTGCTCCCCGGCAGGGCGGCCAGGGATGGCAGATAAGGCTTGTTTATGTAGCAATGATTCCCCACGTCTAACCAGGAGCATTTCCATACCATGCTCAGTCCTCTGAAAATTCCTGCATTACGCACTTGGCTCTGGAGGGTTGCAAAATCCAGCTCACCCTTCCCTTGCTGGTGAGCAGAGATTCCCTACGGCCTCATCCAGGGAGCATCCCAGCCTGCGCTGCCCACGCTGGGTGTGCAGAGGTGCACAAAATTTCTTTGCAAGAGCAAAGGGATGAAATCCTTAATGCAGGGACACACGGAGTTACATCCTGGGTTTGTGGCAGTCATCTATTTGGATGTCTGGTTTCACAAGTGGGATAATTTGGCTACCTCGGTGCAGCTCCCCAAGGCACCCCACTGGAGCTGCAGGGTGCTGAGTGCCAGATGGGACATCTCCTGCCGGCACATCGTCCTCCAGTGGTTTCCTAACCCCTCCCCAGGGATTAACCACAGCTTTGCCAACACTGCCATGACCACATCATGGTCACCACGTGCTTTGCTGCATCAGTGTTTTGCCATGAAGTAGCCCGAGTTTAACCCAGTAAGACTTCCAGTGTGGCCAAGTGGAGCTGCAAGCGATGCTGTAACCATGTGCACAGGCATCTCTAGCTCCTATTAGCACTGCTACAGCAAAATTGCCTCCATGTCCACAGGGAGAGAAGTGACCCAAGTCCCACTGCTGGACGATGGCAAGGGACAACCCCAGTCCCGCACTGGTAGCCTTACAAGGAGCAGCCTCCCAGCAAAGCCCCGTGTGCCCTTCCCCTGTCCTTCAAGGCATCTCCTGACTAGGGGTCCTGTGGCAAGTTAAAACAGGGCTGGAAGCAGAGTGTTGCCTCACTATCATCCTCCAGCAGAGAGACACAAACCAAAACAAACGCATTTCATTTGCTTTTATTTAATAAAAAAAAAAAAACTCGAAGTCATTGCAATCCCATTTAAATACAGAGATTTACAAATAGGTCCAAAACAGGACTAAAATATTCTTTGAAATGCTGTACTTTTAAATATTGTGCTTTCATAGATACATAAGAAAATTAGCATATAAAAATACTTTACAAGGAATACACTCTAATATATGGATAAAAATACACATTTAAGTAATGCATTTCATCTTCATATCATTCAAAATGCATAGGAAGGGATACAAGGACCAAGATTTTCTTCCTTTTTTTTTTAAAGCCTTTAATAAAAGTCTTCATTAAAAACCTATGAGAAGCCCCAGTGAGCTTCCACTGCTCAGAATATTGCATATAAAAACACTTTCGGCTGCACTGTCAATGCTCCACAGTATCAATTATGGCACATTATCTAGTTGTGGCAGCAATGGTATGGGATATTGCATACTCGAAGAGGAAATGGCTACAACGACGAATAGCTGGATGGGGCTGGGCATGTGTCTGGAAGAAACACCCTGATACGTCGCGCCATCGCGGAGGGACAGAGCCGCAAAGTGGCTTGGGGATAGACGTGGGGGGACAAGTCCTGGCTCAGCAAAGCAACAAACGTGTGCTGTACACCCATCCGACACCCTACGCGCACCACCGGCATGCAGGCGGTGATGGAGGGACCGAAAGGGCGAGTGGGGAACGGGGGCGGTGGGCACCGAGGCTGCGGCATCCAACCGAGCAAGCTCCTTGTCTCCACTGTGCCCGAGCCTTCCTGGGGAAAGCGACACCAGGCTCACCGGGACATGAACATCATCATAAAGTGCTAAACATGAAAGATGGCAGGCAGGGGAGGAAACGGATGCAAACATCACAGCCAAACCTGCATGGCCACACGCACTGCCCAGCCCACGCAGGACACAGGACACACAACCTCCATCCAACGAAGGGCTTCTCATGCCACTGCCTGACAGAAGACAACAAGGTTTTCCTAATTCAAAGTCTCAGGGACAGCCCTGGGAAGATGGCTGTTCTATTTACTTGTGGGCACAGGCCAGGTTTGCCAGCACGAGATCTCCACAAAGCCCTGACGAGCAAGGTGGCTGGGGATTTGGGGCCTTGGGTACAGCCTTCTGCTCCATAATAACCACTCCAGCACCAGTAACCACATCGCTGCCAGGAATCGATGGCGGGATGAGGCGGCTCGTCCCACCACAGGGCGAGTCGGCCTGGCAGGGAGCATGGATGGGGATGGCAGGAGGCAGCTGCAAATAACCCATTTTTGAGCAAGAACTGCATCGAGCCACTCTCAAGCACGTTCAAAATGTCTTCAAACAGCGCTCTCCACAGCCCTGCGCCAGCAGTGCAAGGGGCTGGGAAATGGATTTACCAGGAGTGCTTAAAGGATGGAGCTGGGCACAACAGAAAAGGAAGGGCGCTTCAGTCTTACTGTACACGATTAACTGAACAAACGAGAAACATAATAGCACCATGTGTGTTTATAGGGTGGCCAAGGCCTTCAGGATGAGGAGGATGTCGGAGGCAGGACCCCGCGTGCCCCGAGGGCTGGAGCGCAGGGTGATGCCCTGCCACGGGCGATGGCTGGGGGTGGTTTCCTCCTGTCGGCAGCTCGCCCCACCGCCAGCACTGCCCACAGCCCAACATGCGCATCCAGCAATATTTGGCGGTCTACAGGCTCACTGAAGACCCACCTCCCCACTTCCAGGTTATGGTACACACAGCGTTTACAAATACCAGTGCAAAAAAAAGAACAGGAAAAACACCCCAAACACCACAACAGCTCAGCAGAGACCTCGGGCACCGTCTGCTCTGCTCCTGCTGCTCAGAACGTCTGGACGCTCGCCTTGACCTCAGTGCCGCGGGCCGCCTGTGCCGGCAGCTCTCTGCTACCCTCCGGGGGAGCGTTGGCAGCCAGTGCCAAGGGGTTCCGGCTAATCACCAGGTCCAGCTTATCTCCAGCCTCCGAAATCAGGGGAACAGCCAGACAGCAGTCAAAGTCTCTTGTTCGGACGCGGTTTACCTGCCAGGATGGATTTAGGATGTGCCATGGGGAGGAACAACAGAAAGACCATGTTTGTTAGTCAGAAAACGCAAGGTTGGTGCTAAAACCACATCTGTGAAAACACACAACTCTTGGGGGTCCCTAACTCCGAGTTCACAGCGGAGTGGGACAGGGGCATCCCTTCAGGCTTAGCACATCTTGCTTAGCTGAGAAATGATGCAATAATCGGTAGAGGAAGGGGGGAAAAAAGTCTAAATCAGGCATAAACCCTGACCCCAAGTGTCTGGGGCAGTACTAAAAGTATTAAATACTGCAGGGCTCAAGCACAGTTCTCCAGTTCAGGACTCTAGGAGAAAGGCTGCCATTTTCCATCATTTTTTCGCCATCGTGGCTTTTACTGGCCTTAAATTTGTGATGCGGGATATGCAGCGCCTAGAAAACAAACACAGCTCGGACCCTGAGGCTTCTGCCGACCATTTTCCAGCTCAGCCAGCAGTAAATTCAGACTATACTGAACAGTTTCTGCTGTCCTCTCCCCATTTACATCCTTCATTTCAGAGGAGTCTGGATGCATTTCACACGGGCCCAGAAGGTGGCTGCAAATTCTCTCAGCAGTATTCAGCAGCGAAAGCACTTTTACGCTGTCTCTTGAAGACCTTCAAGTGCATTTCTAGGCTGGTTCACCTGCAAGAACCACCCAGCTCTCTTGCCTGCAGCTACCAGAGCTCCTGGGCTTGGTGCCATGACAGTTCCAGGATGAAAGGGGCTGGTAAACAGCATGGGGAGGGGAAGCAGGGAAAGGAGAAAAGGAATTTTCCACCCACCTTTGGAGCGCATTACCCCTGGGGCCAGGTGCTGCTTCCTACTCTGGGTAAAGGCTGGACGAGTCCATGCAACCCTTCCATCCAAAACCCTTTCCCAGCATTAACACACGCCCATGGAGCTGGGTTCCATGACAGCACCAGTGTCCCCCTGCCCTAGCTGGTGTCCATATGGATGACCCCAATACTGTTCCTTGCAGTGTAGTAACTAAGGATAATTTCTAGATCACAGGTGGACAAGGAGAGATAAGCCAGGAGCTTGCAATGCTGTGCTTCAGCTACTCCATCCAGCCAAGAGGCAGAGAGTCTGTCACAGCAGGGACAAGGTGTTTCGCTGGCCTTCAGGCACATCATCATGCCCATAATCAGCAGCACTGTGAAGCATCCTCAGCAACGCCGCTCCATACCTCTTGCCGGGAGCTGCCTGTTCCAGGTCTGTAATCCCTCATTCACAACTCCGCACATCAATGCGATGGCAATCACCTCGTCTTCTTGTAGGTGTCAGCCGTGCAGCGTAGCACGTGGAAGGGGGTGTCGAAAGTCTCCACACCGCTCTGTTTAGGATTTTGGGCACACCTCCCAGAGCACTTGGCACTCACCAAAAGTGACACATCCAACATTCAACAGAAAGGCAGCCCAGAGCCTAATTAGCTTCTTGTTCATTCTTGCACCATCTTTTATTTGAAGCCGAGAAGGAATAATTGTATAGCAGCCAATTGGCTGGAGACCATAACAAGCTTAAACAAGGTTCCCCACAGCGCTGCCAGTTCTCCAGTTACCTGACGTACATAATATATTGGCTCTAATCCTACTGCTAACAACCCTCGCCTAGAAATTAGTAAAACTAAACGTATTTGAGTGTTTCCAAATACGGTCACAATATCTGCATTTCCACATGGCGGCAATTTTTCCATTGGGGTTGCACTTTCTCAGTTGCTCTCTGAGTTGCCTCAAAGCTAAAATAGTGGGTTTTTTTCCATCCACATGAAGCTCTTCTCCAGTCTCCGAAACTCACCATGGTCTTACTGTCCCTCTGGTAGTCCGATACGCCCAGGTCACTTTTATTACAGACTGTGCTTTTGACCAGAATTTTTATTCTGTTTCTGCGTCAGCTACTTCAGATCAAGTATCTTTCAAAGAAAAATATCCATGAAAAACACCTTGCTTGGAGGATGTGTTTCCCAGAAAACTCTTTTAGTTGTCAAACGCATGCACAGAACTTCGTGAATACCACTTAACTCCACACGGGGCTTCGCAGGAACATGTATTGGTCAACACAGTCTAGTTCATCCCAAAATCGCCCTGTTACATGATAGGGAAAGGACCGAGGGTGAGGAGAGGATGCAATACAGCTTTCTGGTTGGTTTGAGCTGCCTAAGGTCAAAAAGGCCAGTGCTGGGACAGGCTGTGTCCTGGAATAGGTAAAGCCTAGGGGTACCACCTGGGGGTACTACCTAGCGATTTCTCATCATAAAACACAGGTCTCATTGAGTAATTGGTGGCTAAGAGCTCACCTGGTTGGCTAACTATTACCTTTCATTAAAGTTAGTGCTGTCATGGATGGGTCTCACTTCTCTCTTCCTCTCAGCCACTCATTCACTCCATCCCAGCCTCCAGAACTGCATTTTGCATTTATTACCTGAAGCACTCTGTCATATGGCTTGAGGCCACACTGATCTGCTGGCCCATCCGGACGGACCATATTTACATAGACACCTTTTTCTAACAGGCCATCTGACACACTGAATCCAAAGTCTTCACTCTCCGGGTCTTTGTGAAGTGTCATCTGAAGGGGCAGAAACAGAACACCCATGTTTTAATGCAGCAGAGGAAGGAGGAGATGTACAGGGTTGGCAGGGTAGGAATAACACAGGTAATGCGTGTGGACCTACAGCAATTCTGCTCTGGGTCTCCTGGGCAGATTTTTGTTAGCCTGGGCAGCTAATACAAGTTGAGCCTTATTTACCAGACACCATCATCATCTCAGGTAGATCATATGGAGAAGTGCTTTGGGGACCTGCATATAACCAACCACATGACAGTCCCTCTCCCTTGGATGTGAAAGGAAATACAAGCAGCGTAACACAGACAGCTACCATATTTCACCCAAAGAGCAACAAAGCAAGAGTTATTAATGCAGCGTTGCCTTCCCTGGCCCAGGTTACATTGTGCATCCTCTGTGTATGCCAGACTAGCACAGGAAAAATCAACATGTTCACAGAGAATTTTCAAGGTAGTGTGTCAAGCATGAAGACAGCTCATTTATAATGTATCACTCTGCAGGAACATCTAAACTTCATATTATTTATGAGTTCTTTTCAGAAAACTCATATCAATAAGTGCTGATGTACTGAGGACAAGAAACAGGTAACCTCATCACCCTTCCCTTGAGCATGTCACGCTTTGACCTCATCTAAAGGAGGAGTGCACTGCTGGAAGCGTATCTTGCCATGGGGTAACACTGGGAATCAGGGACAACTGATTCCCCAACACCACCAAAATCTCCCATTGCCTCCCATGAACTGGGAGTGCATCTCTACGGTGAGGCTCTAACTTCGTCACTGTTCTCTTGACTGGGTGAGCCTCATGGAGGTGTGGTCTTTGGGAAGGACAGTGTCCAGGATGACGCACAGGAGCCGCCCACCTGGCCTCAATCTCATCTCCAAACACAGCCAGCACCAGATGCTCCAGAGGAATGAAAAGTCACCCTGTAACATGCCTAATTACACAGCTCTCCTCCTTCAGGCACAAAGGAGTTTTATTCAAAGACACATTTGCCATGCCCTCAAGGACAAGAGCAGATCAAACATGAAAAAGCTGTTTTTTTCCAGCTACCATAACTGCAGGTTTCATTCTAAAGTCACATTAGGAAAGGAAAAGGTAATAAAATTTTTTGAAACCCCTCCAGCTTCCTTCCCTGCTTGCATTCTGCATCAGCAGCTTCTACAGTTAATTACTTTTTCTAATTACCGTTGTCTTGCACCATGCTTAAACTGGCTACGTTCAGCTACCGTGAATTCAAACAAGTATCCCATCACTGAGGTCCTACCATTTGCAACCCTTCAGGAAAGACTGGGTGGAGTAGAACGGGAGGGGAAAATAAGTTATTTTAAAGTTATTAGAAGTTATTTTCTATCCAAAAAACGGCCTACTGAATGGAGTGTGCCACTGGAAAAGGGCTGATGGATCTCCATGGGATCATACTTTGAGCTCTCTCGCTTGTATCTGTAGCACCAATTAATGAACTCCAGAACATAAGAACCTGGAAATCTCATATAATAAAGGGAAACAGCGAAGCACAGATTTGAAACCCGCTGAAGCATGGCAGCTAAATCTCGTTACTCTTCTAAAGAGGCCCCTTCATCTTAATCTGACCCTCTGGACACCTCTGCTGCAGACCTTGGTGGGGGTCAGCTTTAACAAGGAACGTTATCTGGGAGTCCCTCTGAACAAAGGAGATTTTCTACAAGGTTGCAAAGCTTCTACAGCTTTAACCACTGAGGTACCACAGTGCCACAGCCAGACGAGCCCTTGGCAACACAGACCTTGTGAAACTCGAGAGGGGTAGGGGACATGATTTCCTGCATCTCCTTTTCAATCTTCTTCATGTCCAGGTTCCTCTCATTCTTCTTGGCAGGGGAGCTGCTACCCTCGGTCTGTCCCTCATCACAGCTGGAGTTTGCTTTCCTCAATGGGCTCAGTCCTGATGGGTTGACAGAGTCCAGCAGGAGCTTGCTGCCCTCCAGCCCCAGGTTGTGCACGCTCCCCGTCATGATGGATGCCTGTAGGGCAAGGGCACAAAGTCACTCTGCTAAGCTGGCAGCAGGAAGAAATCGACCACATGGCAACAAAAGTGGCATAGACAACAACAGCAGGGCACCACTGTTCTTGTTAATCAGAAAACTAAGTACCAAGAAGCTTTTCCAGTTAGCTACAAAAGCCATTTCTAGACTTCAGGAGCCTACTGCTGCCAGATCTATCGCTGACCTGCCGTGTGCTCTCCCACCCCAACACGGAGCTTTATCTCAGAAGGACACATTTGTGAAGCATTTCCTTATGTTTTGATGACCTGTTCTACACAGAGCCAGCAGATCTCATCTTGTGCAGGAATCCTCTTGGTAGTCAAGGAGTATGAACATCCAGATCTCAGGATACTGAGTGTCTGCCTGGCTCTCCAGCCTTTCCTTGCAGGCTACAGCTCACCATCAGCATTGCACAGTGCTGGCAACAGCCCAGGGAAGTCAATACCCAGGACTCCACTGAGGCCAATTCAGCAGAGAGATTAGGATTTTATCTGTCAGTAAATGGGAGCCATCACTGAGCAAAACTGAGTTAAAAATATGAAATTAAGTAGTATTTAAGCCTGGTCATCCTTGATAGCATCCATTAAAAGATGCCCCTAAGTAGATTCTACTCCATTTGGCAACGTTTTTCACTAATGAGATTACATTGATCAAAGCTAATGAAGGAGTCAAGAATCCAGTCTGTGGAACCTCAACTGGCTCCAGGTCACAGAGTCCATTTAAATGGCATAATGAAAACTGTCATTTCAAAGTTCAGGCTCCAAGGTTCTGCAGTCCCATTAAATGTCAAAAGGTAGAAGAAAGAAAAGGAGAGGTAGGGAGCAGACAGCAAAATTCAGCAATGCTAAATGTGGCAAGTGAAAGAGCAATTGCTCCTGTGCACGGGGGAAATATCATCTGACTGAATCTCTAATTGCGACCTTCCATCTCTTTGCTCCAAGCTGGAACAAAGGCAAATAACGCGAATTCTGGTGGCAGTACGACAATGTCTGCACTACCCACATTATCCCAACCAGGGGATGGATAAAATACAGAAAATCTTTAAGCTTTGCACTTTTCAAGTCTTCACACAAAAATGACTGATTAGCTGGAGTTTGGACAAAACTCAAACACCTGCTACATGCTGGAAGGACTGTTGAGTTACCACGTACTTGAAACGCAGATTAACAAACAGCAGTACAGCCAACTGGGGTATGTTTGTCCACTGACCTCAGGCAACCTCAGCACCCCTCAGGACGCCGTGCCATGCTGCACCAACACCAGCATCACTGAGCCAGGGAGGAGAACCGGAAGGTCTGTGCGCATCGTGCTACTGTCCTCCCTCTTGCAAATCCTGTAACTGGCCAGTACCCAACATCATGCTGCTCCTACAGCATTCGACTCCTTCTCTGTATTCAAGATATTTAAATACTCCTTGCAGCATCATAAGCAATTCGCTAGGTGCTTGGGTTAAGTGCAAGCGACAGAAAGGACAATTCTGGACTTCTCCAGCCTGTGGCTGCCCCGTGTTATTTTTCCCCATGTCTTGCTTGCCCTCAAAGCAAAGTGAGGACACACGTTCCACTAGACATACTGGAAAAAGTCTGTTTCTACCCATATCATGTAGTCTGGGAGTAGACTGCTACTGTGTGTGAACCTGTTTCCAGGCTATCATGCGTTATCCTGCGTGACTCTTGCCCTTTTTCAAATATAGAGCATGAAGAGTCAAATTAAAAAAAAAAAAATTAAAAGAGAAATAAATCTGTGACTGTCATAAAATCACAGAAGGCCAAGAGCTGGGGCTTAGAAACCCACGATATAGCAAGAGCCCCAGTGAGCACTGCATATCCCACACCACGGCTCAGGAAGGATGGGCACATGGAAAGGGAGGAACAGATCAGCGCTACTTTGGATTTAATAAAAAGGGATCAGCAGTACTTTGGATTTAATAAAAAGGGAGGTGAAACCCATCAGACTTGTGCTAAAAACACAGCACTTTCCTTTGGTCCTCAGAACTTTTCAAAATATTCTAGAAATGTGCTAAATATACCAAAACTCTAGAGGTGCTCAGCTTTTTGGAAGATGTCTTTACACTTCTTAAAGCATTTCTATAACCATCAAATCCCCAAAGCCTTAAACCAGCATGAATCAAAAGCCCACACATCCCTGCGCCATGGATCCCTGGAAAAGGAAAAGGATTGGGCAGAAAGATATTTTCTCTGTCCTGGCATTTCACAGCAGCCAAACAAATTCCTTCTTTTACATTTAGATGCCAGTCATTATACAGAAGAGAAGCATCTATGCATCATTTCAGAGGGGTACTTTTTCTTAAGTAGGCAGCAACAGTTCAGGATGGTTGGTAGCACCTGCCTAAACTAATTTCTAAATACATTCAGGTCCAGGAGATAAGTGATCAAGGGAAGAAGTTATAGTTTGGGGGGCGGGGGGGTGTTGTGTGTGGGTTGTGGGGTTTCTTAAGTCAGCATTTTCTTAAGCAGTTAAAATAATAAATACACTCTTTTGTGTTTCAGCACAATAAATTTGAGATTTCCTCCCCCACTTACAGTTGCTGAGGATCAAGGAGGAAAGAACAATTAGAAAGTCCCTTGTCACCAATTTTTTCACATATAGACCAAAACAGGACTTTCCTTTTCCACCTCCAATTATTCAGAAATCGCCTTTTTCTCTGAAGCCTAAGCAATATGTAATTGTACATAAAAATAGTCCCACTGCGGGTGACGGCGGGTACGACCCAGCAAGCTCTCCTCAGTCCTCTGCACCCAGAAGACAGGGGGGAAGATGAGCTAATGGGCTCCTGCTCCTTCTTTTGAGCCTCGGGAGCTGAATCGGGCAGAGGTTTGCTTCCCACTACTCGACAGTCTTGAAGGAGGCCTTTATTTGCATCCCACGGCTTAGAAATCCAGGCTCCTCATCCTATAACCGGACACAATAACATGACCTCCAAAGCATTTTGGATAAAGAAGAGAGAAAGTGGCTTGTGAAGAGAGGAAACACCTTTATTTCTGCAGGAAGCAATTACTTTCTCTGATTTTTCCATGGGGAAGGCTGGCTGAAAAGCTTTCAATTACCCATTTCACTGAAACAGTTTCCGGCAGAGTGACAGCTGAATGCAAGATATATGTTGGGCCTGTCTATATTTGAAGCCAGTCAAGGCTTCAGTCCCAGTGGGGTTTTTGGGGGCTCTTTTCGCTTGGCTTTTAAGTGCTTTGGACAGACAATATCTTTCCAAGCCGAGGGTTTACCATTTGATAGGGATTTGCCAACAGTCATGTGAAGATTGTTGGCCAGCAACAGTTTGCAGAAAGAGCGTGGAGTTGCTGGTGGGTAAGTCATCAGCGCAGGGAAAAAGCGCATGCAAGCAACTGTCTAATGAGACATAGTTATCCATTAGCACAAACACTGACATGGATTAGACTCAAACCCTTCTTCACACCACTGGCAGCGCAGGGATGCTACGGGCAATTAACAGATCCGGGGAAACAGTCTTAACATTTACGGCAAGAGCAAAACTGTCAGATCAGCAGCAAATTCGGAAAGCGATTTACCTCAATCTCCCTCAAAAGTTCAGACTGGCCGCATGTTTCCAAATCCTCCAAAGCTTCTCCAAAAACACGCCAAAAACTATCCTCGTGAGTGGTCTCAAGGCCATTTTGGCGGTTGGGGTATCTGTTGTAACGTAGGAACCAAACATTGTCAGCACTCTTCTGCAGCGGGATGAAAGCCGCGAGGCTACAGCAAGTGTCTCACCAGTAAAAGCAGAGACTTGAAGAGTCTTCATATACAAAAGCAAACAATATGAACTTTTCAGACAAGAGTCCGAATACGAGACCTCCATGCATCTACTAACGGGGCAAGTGTCCTTCAAAGGAAGAATTAAGTTGGTGTAGTAATGTCAAAGTTCAAAGGGTAAATTAAAAAGTGCCTGTAGGAAGATTGTAGGTTTAGGAAGACGTTTTGGTGAAATAGAGAAGTGAAAGAAAAAAGGATGCGTTATGGGTAAACCAGGAGCCTCAGAGACTGTTAGTACAAAGGCTGATGGGATAGAGCTCAGATCTGAGACACAGAACACCTGAGAAGAGAGAGAAAAACACAGAGGGTAACAGACATGGTGAGAAAATGATAAATACATTAGGTCTCTATGAGAGTAAATAATGCAAAGATGTATATAAAAATGATTGCCCTTGGCCGGACAAGCAAACGCACGCTACAGCCAGCAATATCAAGAGTCATGTATAACCCATACAAACCAAGTTTCATTTGCTTTGGGATGGCCAAGGCACTGAGCTCTTATTTTCAGGAGGTCTCTTTTTTTTGCTATATAACAGGCACTCGCAGCCATGTAAAGATTGCTACCAGTACTACCCACAACAGAAAATAAGGAGACAGAGCAGCTCTCTCAAGCTGCTACAAACACATATTAATGTGAACACCATGTGCATCTTGCTGGGGGTGGGTTCTGCCAATTTCCCACCTTGGCAGTTTTAGCATCTCTTCTCTCTGACCACAAGCCAGGCTCAATTCTCAGACTTCTACAGCAAATAGCAATTAAACATGCTGAAGTTCTCCGAACAAGCCAGAGAAGTAGGTGACACTGGACACTGCTTACCAAACCCCAGGCTCTGTGCAAAACTCAGACCATCAGCACTCAGTTTAACAGGAGCCTCTTGAAGGAAACTCTCCGTAGTGTTAAATTGAGGTCATGATAAACCCACTAATGTATCACAGGGAGAGACCCCAAGGGGACAGTGACATTAGAGCGGCCCTAATGCATCTTCTACACATCTTATTAGGAGCTGCATGGACAAGGCTGCACCTCTGCAACGTCTGGCAGCATCTTGTGTGGCTTAATGGTCATCAGCGCTGCAGATGCAGAAGGGACACTCATCCACCAGAGCCACTCAGCAAAGTCAAAACATTTTACTTGAGTACAAGTCACAGATAGGTTGGCCTCCACTAAATATATAATGATTCCTTGGGCTATTAATAGAGCTTTTTTCAAATCTATATTAACTGCAAAGTCTTTAGCACACATTTTGCTGTAAACAGGAGTCTGTAGCAGGCATAAACTCATATACACGCAAGCTTTTGCTCCTTGTGGGATCATGGCCTGCCTGGAGAGAGCAGTATCTGACATGGCTTATTGTATTTTAAATTTACCCCCTACCTCTCCTCATCTTTTACAGGACACTAACCTTCACACCAGGCAGAAAGGTCAAAAAAATACCCAGTAAGACTTCATAAAAACAAACCAAAATTTCCCCCCAAAAGGAATTTTCAATTCTTTCCCCTTACTCATTTCCTTCCTCTGCTCCCAGGCTCCCAAACGTCCCTTCCAGTCACCAGTTTCTTGCCTCTCAGATCAGCAACATAACACATCCAGGACGCGGATGAATCAGTACGGGCTCTCACACCACTGGGTCAGCAGGTTTTTCCAGGCTAAAGGCAGCCAGGGTTAGAGAGATTTTGTTTTTCTCTCTAATAAAAAGGGCTCAGCGGCACAAACCGTTTCACTTGCACTTTGACATCAGGGCTTGAAGCCCTCATTAGGGACACACGGGGCTTTGAGCGCTCAGATCTGCTAACTTCAGCTGTCGGCAGCCTCACTGGGAGGGCCACGAGGGATCAACAACCTCTGCGAGCTGGCTCTCGCTGAGAGGCAAAACAAGAACAAAGTCTCCGCTGCTGCCAGCCTTCCTGCCAGTTTGATCATCTTTAAATAGGTGGAAATGGCCATGAGATGTTCTAAGGGTTTTACTTGGACAAACAAAAGTTAAGGAAAAAAATAGTAAAAAAAAAAAAAAAAGAACCAACAGTAACAACACGACACACACAACTATGGGGACTCTGGAGGATGTCAAGGGAAAGGTTAGTTACGAGGCAAAGAAGCTTTTCCACCATGCACGGCTCAGCAAGGGGCAGCCTCTGGCAGGGCAGATCCAGTAGGATTTTCACCCAAAGTGAGGGGCAGCTGCAGCCTCCTCCATAGGCTCGGGAGGTGTTGCAGGATTTCTCCCACGCTGAGGGATTAACTCAACCACGTTCACTCAGCATGGCTTTCTTTGTGGTGTTGGAAGAGCCAAAGTGTGATGGGGAGAAACGTCCAGTCACAGCTTTGGGAGATTTTAACTTGGACACTCAACCTCATACTGGTCCTCCAAGAACTTTGGTTGGCGTTTTTGGTTTTGTGTCATTGAGCTGTTGTGAAGCTGCATCCTCACTTGAAAAAGTCTGGCCAACGTGTGTGGACAGCCCTGACCATATCTATTACATCAAAACTATGAAAATACTGCAGCCTTTACATGGCAGGAGTACGAGACGTGGCAAGAACCTGTGGTCCATGCAGCTGAGACCGCCCTAACTCCAGACAAAAATGTCACCTGGCCATGGCGGAGGTGCCACGGAGCTACAACCCAGGGTAACCTGGCAATGTGGAAGTGGTTCAACATTAACAGATATGTTAATATCAGATAACCACCCCAGCACCACTCCCCATGGCTGTCTGATGCTGAGACGGGGACATCGCTGTTTGCTCCATCACAGTCCCATGACCCCTTGCCCCTAAGCAGCAACATCCACATCTGCAGATGTGCCTCCCTGCCTCCTCCCACCCCTCCATACCTGCTGGGCTTGTCCCAGTCGTCTTCACTGAAGCTTCCATCCATGTAGGGGTAGTTTTTCCTGGGGTCCCCGGGAGGGGTGCTGCTCTTTTGCCTGCTGTGTCTCCATTCGTGTGGATGGAGGGCTATGCCCGCAGTCTGAGGTATGTACGTACCTAGGGAAGGCAGGTGGGGTGGGGAAGTGGTGGAAGAGAGGGTAATACCTGGTCAGAAAACCTTGCGCCAGGAGAGTCTCCTTCCCCAAGTCCCAGACCTGAGGCCATCTGGGTTGCATATCACTTCCATTTCAGCCATCCAGAGACGATTGTTCTTCCCATTTCTTCTTGCTTTAAGCAAAGCAGCTTCTGAGGATCTTGTCATAAAGTGCCCCATTTCTCCTTTGCTCCTCCACTTCTGAGTAATTTCTTGGTGTGGGTCTGGGATCCACAGACCTGGGATTACATATACCCAGAGATGCAGATCCTATCCCCAGCCAGCTCCAACCTTGGTTAATGGCTCCTGTTTCCACACTGAATTCAACAGAAACTGTACTGTTGAAGCAGCAACCTTTAAATATAGCGAGTCCTTCAAAGGGTAAAGAGAAGATGCTGCCAAGCCTTCCTCAGCATGCCCAACCCCATTCATTTTGAAGGATTTGGAGGTCTGATTTCTATTAGGAAAAAAAAAAAACACACCTTCATTTAGATTCTCAAAATCTCATGTATTTGGGACTTAATGGACAGCAGAAAAAAAAAAAAAAAAAAGTAATAGGATATAGAAGGACAGCAGTAAAGAAACTGCATCCAGAGCAACCACAAGCCACAGCCTCCCTTCAACAAGTGTAATGGTGCTGAGGGTCCCTGGTGTCAGTCACCAGCTCCAGGGTCCTCAGCAGTGGTAAATGAGGAAGAGCCAGTCCTGTTCCTGAGAGCTGCCAGCCAGTTCCTGCAGCCAGCCAAGACCTCCCATGCCTTCGGGATGAGCTGGTGCAGCTACAGAAAACTGCTTCAGGGGCATGTGTGTGAAAGGCAAGGAACAGGAGAAAAAACTCTGCTGGCTTGAGAGAAGGAGAGACTCATCTGCATCACATTTGATAGGAGATCAATACAGACTGCTGGGATGAAATCAGACAAGTTTCACTACGCCTGCCCCGAGGACTTTTCTGTACTGCAGTGTCTTACTCCAGGGATGCAAATCCATCACTACGAAGTCAGAAGATCCCCAGGTCTCACGAGATGCTGCCTGGACAGAAACCTTCCAAAACAGAGCATTCCTCAGCAGTGTCAGTGCCATGTGCAGTGGAAATAAATCTCCTGAGTCCCTCGCCCACCTCCTGCTGCCCATTCAATGTTTCAGAGAAATCTTCACAGCCTTTCCAAGAAACACTGTACACTTCCATCACATGCTGTGCCAAGCGAACAGGAAGAGGTAACAGAGAAACATATAATTAAGGGAGACTTGACCTCCCAAACAGCTGAGAGCACTGGAAATACCCAAAGACAACGTCAGCACTTTTCTTTGAAAATGCCAAGGCCTGTTATTTCACTTAGATGAGCGTTTCCTCTGTGTGTTTTTAAAGGTTAAACTGCTCTGGAGACAGCCCCAGAAAAGTGCTTGCCAACACCTTAGAGCAGTCAGTCAGGAGCATTCGCTGCCTGCCAGAGTAGAACAAGGTCCCTGATGCAGGTCCTTGCAGCGGGTGGACAGCAGTTTTGGGCTGGGGACAGGGGGCCGGGGACCGAAGGGGTATGTGTGCAGAGCTGTCACCTGGGCCACCAGTTTCACCTCCTCCGTCCAGGGAGATGGACTGGATCCCTGGGATTCAGAGCCACCTGGTGGTATGTTCGCACCAGGCACAGCACAGCTCCCTCGTCCAAACCCTTCCTTGAGCGATTTCCTAAAGCTGCGGATGAACCTAACACCTACAAGGCTGCAGAGCCCGATCTATAGTTCTCCATTTGGGGTGTAAACCTCAATCTCCAGGCTCTGTGCATCCCACATCTCCCTGCATGCTGCCTTCCCTGCCCATCTCTTGGACGACCCTGCATGTCCTTCTCCCTACCCTCCAGCATCCCTCTTCCCTGCCAGCACCAGTACGCAACCATGCAGCCCAATGCAATTACCAGGGAAGATGAGAGAGCCTCTGTAGCAAAGTTGCAGCCTGTGGATGTTGGGCAACTTGGCATCAGCCCTGCTCCCCGGGGCTCTGTGCTCAATTACTCGTTCTCAATTTACCGGTAAAAGCAATCGCTTTGCTAAATCCAATGTCCAACTTGTGTTAACATTCAATTAGATGAAGAAGGATTGCAGCATTATAAAGACCAAGGGATTCCTCCTTAACTAAGCCTCCAGTCCCAATTGCACTCCCAAATTAAGACTTCAGACCAATGGAGGGTGAAGGGAGATGCAGACATGGTAGAAGGGACATCAGTGCAGTGCTGTCCTTTGAACTTACCCAAGTCAGAGCGCAGTGAGCACAGGCATGCACCTTGCTCAGCACACTGAAGGTGCTTTGCAACAGTGTTCCTGCAGCATCCCTCCCTGTTTTCACATTCTGTTCCGGACAGCAGTCTGTGCACCAATTTCCTTTTGCAGAGGTGATTCAGGGTTTTGTTTTGTTTCAATACGGGCTAGTACTAGCTTATGTCACTGAATCTGAACTGGAATAACTATTTTCCAGCGCTTTTCTCCAAGTAAAAATCTATTCCCATGACTAGAGCATCCTCCATCCCAATTTCACGTGTCTGCCAGAAGCCACAGCTGAATAAACTTGGCCTCAAAGACATGTGTTCATCTGATCACACACTAGAGAGTTACAGATACTTTCTTGTAGTATTACCTTAATTATTTTGTTAAATGAGTGCTTCTAGTCACAAGACATTCTTGTGGATTTTAAAACATCCTGAAGAGGATTAGTATGTCCTACACGGCCTCTCTGGAGAATGAAAAATGAGCTATGGACCAAACACTCCGTAAGACATATGGCCAGTGAACACTTCCTCTGATTATGTGAATTATAAAGTGCTATAATGGTTTTGAAAATGCAGTGAATAGTATGAGGCCATATAAGCCAGAAGAAATGTGCCAATAAAAGCCTAAAACAGATACACCAACTCAGAGAACCACATGAGTGCATTTTAAAATACATTTTGTTCCTTGCTGGAAGCAAGAAGCCATGCAAATGTGGTCAGATCACAGACTTTGGCTCACGTTAAGTCTCCAGACAGGTTTGGAGGCTCTGCCTAACTTCACCTTGGCCCAGAGACCCCTGAGAAAAGACAACCCTCGCTTACCTTGGCTTCCATACCCGGCATCAATGCCAGAGCCATCCCAGGACTCCATGGCACTGTCCACACTAGGAATTGTGGTGGAGTATATCTCAGACAGCTTGCTAGTTTTCTGGGAGTCTGTCAGTTCATCTTCTGGGTCGCTCACTTCATTTATACTCCCCGACTTCCTGGGATACGATTCTGAAACCAGAACATTCTGCTTTAGCAGGCCTATGCTGACATGGGAGCAAGCCCAGGTATTGTAAGTATTTTTGAAGTACCTCTTTAGGTCTTCAAAAGCAGCTGAGAAAGGCCTGTGCAATGCAGTTGAAAGGATTTAATGCAGTACTCTTATCTCAGGCTGAATCAAGAAAAAAACGCCTTTCTGAGTTTTTAGCACACGGAATACAAGGAGCAACCATGGGAAACTGAGCATTCACAAATATGAGAGAGTTGACGCCTAACGTCAGTTCAGAAGCTTCCTCCAAACAGCCCTGCCCAGAGAAGTGCTGGCCTCTCCAAGCAATAGTCCATAGCTTTGCCGGTATCACAGGGCCTCCTTTTGACTCAGAGCAGCACCCAGTCAGGGTGCTGGCTGCAAACCTTCTCTTACAAGCAGATGTTTCAATGAGATTCCAATGATATTGCAACCTGGTCCCGAACTACCGCCGCTGAAGTTAGAGCCCCCTTCCAAGACTGTACAATGTCGTATCAATTCAAGGCTAATCACCACCTCTCCAGAGTCTCCCACGCAGTCTCATGACAACGGTGGAATTCCTGGGCCTGGTATTTTGAGGCTGAATTTCCCCTGATTAATGATTGGAAAATGGAAAGCTGAATGTGGATGATGAAGCTCAGACTCTCCCTTTCATTATTTTAGTGATAATAGGCCTTTATTATCATCATATCAAATTCCCTTTCAGCCAAAAGCTATGCAAGGAATGGTTTCTCAGCACAAGCATTTCTTTGTACTGAATATTTTAAAGTCCTCGTTGATTAGATATGCTGTTAGCCATCCACGCCCTGGATCTCTGACTCGCAGAGGCTGGGATAAAAAGCCCTCTGAAAGTCTGCATTTGTCAACGAGGACAGATTATTTTACCAAACAAAGCCCAGTGTCCTGAAAGTCTCTATTTTCTAAGCATTCAGAAGATTGCTCACCATGATTAACTCAAGATTACCCTGAAATTTCAATTACACTTGCTTCGTTCTCAGAATGATTAACGAGTTTCCAACTGGCACTCTCACGTCAATTATTTCAGCAAGTGGCTGTGACAATGCTAAGTGTCAGCAAGGGGAAAAAAAAAAAGTATTTTGGACCAAGGATCAAGATGCTTGGCTGAAAGGAACAAGACTAGGGTTTCTTGAAGATGAATCAATTCCCCAGTTCCACCTCTATTTGCTAAGTCCCCGCTCCCTGCCTGGGCTTCCTCCACTTGTAAAACGGGTGCATTGCCACATATTTGCAAACTGCTTTGAGGTCTACACAAGTGCTGTGTTTAAGAGCAATGTTGCTTTTTCAGATGCAGGACAGACATCCCATGGGCCATACTTGCTTGGAAGAGCTTTATCATTTGATTTGTTCCAATTCTCACAGTGCCATGGGCCACTGGCTGGATAGGTCCAGCTAATCTAGAGACTGCAGAAGCATAGCACAAAAAAAGATAGAAAATACAGGGTATGAAGAGGGACAGAAATGCAGCCAGAATGCACTCGCTGCTTTCTGAACTTGATGAAAAAGCCTCTGGCCGTGATTATGCAGCTGGGAGAAAAGTTTGCATGTTCCCTGGTTTTTATAATCCCCTCTCTGTCCCCTAAAAAAGTGGCCTGCCTGTACTAAGCATGCTCCTGCTCTTTGATACGTGTCAAGAAGAACAGCTCAAAGCCACAGGGAGCTTGCCAGGGAAGTCAGAAGGGGCTTTCTAGAGTGAAGGTAGATGCTTTGAAAGACAATCCTAGGACTGCAGCCAGGAAACGGGGCGTAAAAGGTATATTGTCAACAGCTTTCAAAAAGTTGAATTAAAGGTGGGGTTTTTTTTTCATGGATTCTACCAGCTCAGAGTCCCCTTGCTCGTTTTGGGGGGTTATATTAAAAAAAAAAAAAAACAACATCAGAACCCTGCACTCTTCTACTTTTAAAAGCAACTTCTGCTTCACTTCTGTGTGAAACACCCACACAGGCAGGGAATGGCACCAATGGCACAATGCGTCAATCTGAAAAAAATTATTGCAAACAAACCTGCTATCTAATCTCTTCCCAGTAATCCAGAGAGCCCCCTTGGGTTGCCTTCTGTTTCCACCTGTGAGTCAAAAGTTCAAAAAACATCTACCTTTCCCCTCTGTTCCTAGCCATCCCCCTGACCATGCTGCCTCGTCTCACCTTCCACAACATGTGAAGGAAAGCCGACAGTGCTACCTTCTCCATCGCCCAAGATCCCTGCTGGGGTGTGCCTTCGCCCTCCCACCCCAAACCAGGCTCCCCTACTCACTCTCTGTCTGCTTCTTGATCTTCAGAGTGACCGTCTCTCCTGCCATCTGCAGCAGGTGAATGGCTTCGCTCAGTGGTTTGCCCTTGAGGCTCACATTATTAATCGCTAATATCCGGTCACCGATGTGGATGGCTCCGGTTCTGGAAAGAAAAGGCACTGTTAAAAACTCCAGAGAAGCAATTTGCCTCTGCAAGACAGGTCATTAAGTTATCGCTTGAAGCAACAGCACATTAACTCTCACCACTTTCAAATATGTCTCCGTTTCCCCTTGGTGCACTGTATACCCATTCCTCTTCACTGCTACCAGGAATCTGGGTGCCCCCTCATCTTCCACCTGTGCATATACACACCAACACACGCACAGGAACACATGCGCTCCTCGGATCCCAGGCCCCTTGGGGATCAGGACTGCAGACTAGTTTACTGTCAAAACTCTTCAAAGCAAGGGGATCTACATGCTAAAAGCAGAAGTATTTCCAGTGTGTGATGTCCACTGGTTGTCACACACGGAACTGAAGGACACCTAGAAACCCACTGAGAAAAAAAAACAAAAAAAAACAAAAAACGGCCCAACACACACAGACTGTGTGCAAGCATGAGCTGAACCAATTGCAGATCAGTTCATGATTTGTGTAAAGCTCACCCCTACGCAGCTACGCCACTGTAACCTTCTCCATCAGGACCAGTGCTCTAGAAGAGGTTACTGTGTTTTATTGCACAGCAACGTTTTCCAGCACCGGCTTCTGCTCTCAGCTAAATAAATCCCCCAGGCTTCAGCAACAGCCAGGAACAAACAAACAAGTGACAGCAATTCTCCCCCTTCTCCTCTGTGTCTGCCCACAGACTGAGGCTCACTTTACCTCTCCCGTTGTTTGCTGCAGCTCTGGGAAGAGCAGGCAGGACAGGATGTGCCCATCACCAGAGCCGGCTGCCAACGGCTGGCTGGATCCGAGCTCACCGTGCTCACGCTCCAGCTCCCTAACGCTAGCAAGCGAGAACAGCGACCTGTTCCTCCAGCAGTGCCGTGAGGTTCAGCTATCAGGAACCTCAAGGTTCTGATCAAACCAGAAGGAGACATAAATCTGAAGTGCAACATCTTTTTTGTCTACGGCAACGTGCCTCTGTCGGGTCACATCTCCAAATCGGACTGCTGCTCCTGCAGAACTGGGGACTGATATACCGCCACAGGCAAATCAGCTGTTTGTCTTTCCCCAAAACATGCAACTTTTGTAGACGCAGTGCCGTGAAACATCTCCTGTACGGACATCAGACCGGGAAATAGAGCCATTCAGCCCGCGGGACCGGGCGGCGGCGGCGATGCTCGGGCGGCGCCAGCAGAGCTCCCGTCAGCCGCGAGGGGGCGCTCTTGTCCCGCCCCGCCAGCCTGGCGGCTCCCTCCGGGAGAACGCGGGGCTTCCCATCAATTACAGATCCAACTGCAGCTGCAGTGTTTGTCCTAAAAGTTTCATCTGCGGAGTCAAAAAAACTCAAATGCTGGCCGTTTAAAGGCGATCCTCCGCTCGCTGCAGCGGTTCGGCATTTGAGGAGCTCCTGTTGCAGCCCCGCAGCCGGCGTGGGGAGGCGGCTCCCGCCCCACCGCCCGTCTCGGAGCAGCACGGCTGCGCTGCGGAAACTCTGCAAGTCCCTCAGCAGGGAGAAATACAGAAACAGCTAAAGAGAAAGGTCACGCTCAGTCAGGTGCTTTTCTTCAAGAGGGGAAAAGTAAATCAAAGTCCAGTCCTCTCATCTGTCCGTCTCCAGGCACCCCTGTGAGGACAAGCAGACAGAAGCCAAGTGGCAGTGACGGAGAAAGCTGTTTCTAGCTCATGACCCTTGTGCTTCTCCATCATCACCAGCAGTCCTTAATTCACCTCAAACACAGGGCAGCCCAAGGAGCTGCATGCTCCATGTTTGTTCCTGCTCAGAGGACACATGCAAGAGCAGAATCAAGCAACAGGTAAGTTGTCAGGTGTAAAAGGGGCTGCAGGCACTTTCCATCAGGCACTGGAGAAGAGGTGGCTGCATGCCTGCAGTAGGGATTTACTTGGCACGTAGGCAGGGCCACCATCCCTTCTCCCCTCTGCCCACATGGGTTGGTGCTGAGCGCTCCTGGATAAAACCCTCCTGCAGCCACTCTTATCTACTTGACCAGGTGGCACTAGAGGCAGCTGATCAGGCACTTTAAAATGCCAGCGATAGCCCAAAATCGCTCTTGGAGAACCATTACACCTCAACCAGAATGGAACAGTATTGTTCAGGCACACTCCCTTCCCCAAGAAGGAAAACAAGTCCCACAGCCCAGGCTAAAGCCACCCACAGGCACTGCAGGAGGGAAAACAGAGACTAATGTGGGAGACAGCCATTGCTCTACACCAACCCAACAGCCTGACCTGCCTCTGTAGGTTTCTACAGGATCAGACAAGTATAGGGAGAAAAATGTTCAAGGTCAAACTAAAACCCAAGTCATAGAATCATAGAATCTGAAGCCTTTTGTCGTGGTTTTAGGCTGATCCAGCAACTAAAACTCACACAGTCTCTCCTTCTCCAGTAAAGTAGAGAGGAGAGAAAAAAAACCAAAGGGACTGAGGGTTGAGACAAGAACAGAGGGAGCACCCACCAACCATGGTCCTGGGCAAAATAGGGCTTTCTCAAAACAAAACAGTTTATTAACAATTACTTAGAAGGACAAAGGGAAACAAAAA